CCCCCCAAGCACAGAAAGGAGAAGTGCTAAGGTTTTCATTCAAGTCCCAGAAGCCAGCAGCTGCCACGCACCAGGCTAGAAGCACAGCTCAGGGAGGAATGCTTACCAGTGCTGCCAGCACTGACACTTCCTCCCAGACCTCTTAAAGGAAATCCGAGTGCGGCCCCAAGCATCCAAGGCAGCCCCATCACCAGTTGGAGAAACTAGGCATTTGGGTATGGAATGGGTTTATATGGACGCCTTCAGAAGTGTTTCACTTCTTTCATTAGAACAATAATGGGAAATAAAGACAAATTGATGGCAACTTATATGCTACTGTCCCCCTCTTGGATCTGCTCTGTCCTGCATGAGCTCTACCTGCAATGGAGCTTTGTTTCATGGATGAGCTCAATGGAATCCCATGGATGTACAGGACTGTTCTCAGTATTTGCCTGACCCATCAAAGGCCTGGCATTGGCTCTAAAAGCGGCTGTGTGAACTTGGACCATAGGGCCATCCTTATGTTACTGCATTTGAGAGAGGACATTCATAGTTTCCTTAGGCAGGAGCACCTTAAAGCCACCCTTTGAAGCATAGATGGAAGGGGGGGAAAAAAAAAGAACGCAGACTGTCCCCCACCCCCCTCCTGAGGGAAAGGGTTACCTATGACCATTCAGGACAGGACCGAGAACCCAGGTTTTACTGTCTTATCCTATTATTTTAACACTCCCCCATTTTCACAGTTTAAAACCCAGTGAAGCTGACCTCTCTCCTTAAAAGCTGTAGAATTGCAACAAAGTATCAAGCTACAGGAGTCTTCAAAGGTACTTTGTTTTCCAATTATAAACTTCTCATCAGAGGAGTGTTTAATCAGCAAGGCCCAAACATCTCGCAAAAGTGCAACAGGGAATTTCTGCCCCAGAATGGAAAGAGATGACTTTGGTTTAGATGGAGCTTCTCTGCCTAAGCTCAGCGTGGCTATTTGGTGATCTTTTGATCTGCTTCCCTGGTCCAGCACAAGTGTTCATTTCCCTGTTTTAACCTCTCTGAAAGCGGCCTGAACTAGGTGGGAGCCTCACCCCCAAACTGCTCTTTCAAGAACCCTCAGCGACTCTCCCAGGCTTCGTTAAGGAGTTTCTTGCTCAGCACACAAGAGGATGTCACAGAGGAACAAAATCTCAAACTCCGAGTCCGAGAGGACCCGTGGCTCCCGCCCACCC